CTCTTTTTTTCCTTTTTTCTTTCTCTGCTAAATTTCTTTCAGGCATATACTCCCATACATTTACTTAAGGACACCATACTGAATTTAACAGTACTAACACTAAGCATAAACTGCTTCTTTTATGCTGGCATCTTTTGAATTTGCTCTGCTTCATCTTAACACTGGTAACAGACAGGTATTCTTTTGTATGTGGCTCTTCTCTTCCAAAGCTCACTGGCAAGCATAGTAAAAGGGCCACAGAGCAGATGCTACTCTCTTTTCTCCTTGTTTCTCCACGAACAAGGTTCACCCCAAGCCTCAGACTCCTATCATCTCTCTCATGCAGTACTTCATACCTAGAGCTCTTTCTCCACCCCACTGCTGCACATCCCTGCTAAAAGTATTATATCCCAGACCGCTTGAGTCGTTCACTGCCTCAGTACCATGGGGGGCCAGAAGGAATGGCCAAACACAACATTTGAGTGCGCCGGCATCCCGTCTGGTTTTACCTCTGCCGAGGGGGATGAGGAAACAATCCAGGCATGACCTTATGGCCCTCCCACCCAAATTGCCAAAATATTGGCCCAAAAACACACAAAATATTGCATGTTCTTAAGACAGCGTGCAGAGAGTCAATGGAGCCACCGTGTGGAGATACATATTTCACTTCTGTGCCGAGATGGATGCTAGGTGGTCACTCCACAAAGCCAGCACCCCTTCTCTTAGGCCCGCTCTGTATTTAGCTACGTGCTTTCTGGTACCCAAGTCTCGTCGCTGGTTACGTTCTGATTGCACCACACACCAGTTTGGCACTTGCACTATAATATTTTGGCTAATCACCATAGAGAGCAGGAGGATAGTAACATTCTTGCCAAATTCTTATCATATTCTTATCGTCTCATTATTTGTTTAGGGGAGGGAAAGTTAATATGATAATAAGCTTTAATGAGTTTATTATTATTGTTTAATGAGATTCAATGCCCTACAGATCACCCTAAGTTGAATGTCATCCCTGTTTGGTCAACTCCTCTTTGCAGGGTTTGTGCATCCCTTATCCTGCCATTAGCACTGGTCACTCTCTGCCGCTGTGATTTACAGCATCCGGCCCTGGCATTCCCTCCTGTCCTTGATTCCCAGCAACTCTTTCCAGAGTTCCCACGCACGAACATCGTTCCGCACGATGGCCGTGACAGGAAACGCAACACGATGGCCGTGGCAGGAAATAACCCAACGGCGGCGCGGGGAGAGCTGAGGCGAACGCCACTCGAGCGCCTCAAACGCCAGGCCGCGGCACTGACGAGGCCGCCGGGGACCTCAGGACGGTCACAGTGAGGAGGAGGCGCCCGCGCGCCGCCCTCCAACGACCCCAGGCGCGCAACGCGCCCAACGGCCGCCCCGCGCGCCCAACGGCCGCCCAACGGCCGCCCCGCGCTGCATTTGCATGCGAGGCCTCGCCCCCCAGTGTGACGAACGGGAGCCGCGCTGCCGGCGAGCGGGGCCGGCCCGGTACGGTGCTGGCTCCCGCCGCCCCTAACGGAAGCGCTCGGCGGGGCTGAGCGGTGACGCGCCCCGGGCGGGCCGGCTCGCCCCCCGCCGCCGCCCCCCGGCCCGGCCGGGCCCGCGGGCACCATGTGGGGAGCGAGCCAGGGGTGGGCGGCCGATGCGGTGAGTGCGCGCGGGGAGGGGGGGCGCGGGAAACGGCCGCTGCTGTCGCCTCGCTCCCGCCGCCGCCTGCTCGCCGCGGGAGCGGGCCGCTCTCCCGCCCCCCGACCCCCGCCGGCGGGCGGGCCCACGGGCCGTGTCGCCTGCGTGGCCGCCGCCGCTCGCGTGGGGGAGGCCCGAGAGCCTGCGGAGGGAGGACATGTTGCTACATGCAGCCTCTGCCCCCCCGGCCCGGCCCGGCCCGAGCTGTGGAGCAGGGCAGCGAGGGGGGCGAGGGCAGCAGAAGTGGCGGCGGCCTGGTGTCACCCGGCCCCCCAGGTCTCGTGGCCTCTACCTGGGCTCCTCATATATATATATATATACATATATATACTTATATATATATATATATTTATATGTTTATATATGATTTTTTTATAATTTTTTTATTTTTTTTTCTTGTGTTGCCCCTGGGTTCGCACGCTGGGAAAGCCTCCTGGGATGCTTTGCTCCCTGGGGAAGAGCAGGAGTGTCGCCTAGGGCTGCTAGCGGCCCAGCTGCACAACCTTGCTTGCCGGCAAAAAGAACCCCCTTCTTGCTTAAGCATAACCCAACAAATAGCTGTGTGGACAGCGCAGGGGAGCAGAATAGCCCGTGTGGAGGCCCTGTAAAGCGTATTTGTTGTGCAGGCTTAAACCTTGCCAAGAAAGGAGCAGATGCCCCATTCGTGCAGAGCAGCCTCACAAGACACCAAGCACTGCTTCTTGGGGGAGGAAACTTTCTGCTGTGAGAGTTGTGGTTGTTAACGACATTCATGATAATTCCTGGGCCAGAAGTAACAGTGCTAGTAATGGAAACTGAAAGCAGCTCTGTTAGCAGTAACAGAGCTGATGAAATTCTCATTGCTGCATACTTCAGTGTTGATAGTCAGTTTATATAGACTTTTTTTCTTTTTTTCTTTTATATTTTCATAGAAAAAAATTGTTTCTTCTCACAGTGCATGTTGGACAAAAACTTATCCACTCATTATAAATTAAGTGGATTTTTAAATCCATCGCTTTAATGAATTTAAAACCGTTGTTTTTTAAATTCATCAGCAATTTGAGCCATTGTGTTTTAAGCTTGTGGGATTTGGATTACCTTTCAGTGCAGCTCTCCTGTTTTCTTTTTAGTGTTTATGGTTTGCGTCCTTCTTCCATACTTAGACGTGTCCAGGAATCTATGCGAGGTTTTGGCTGGGATAATGTGTGGACTGGAGGTAAAGTTTTTGAAAGTTATATTCCCTTTTTGAAGGGGAATAACCTTTTGCATTAATAAGTTTTTCTTTCCCTCATCCCCTAGAGCCTGTGCTACTCCCAGAGGAGTACAAGTGTATTAATGGGTGCAGGTGAACATTGCTTCTTTGTTTAGCTGTTCCAAAGCTATTAGTAATTGAAATGATCAGATTCAAGGCCTTGAAGTAATATTGGATGGATCTGAGGTCTGGTTATTTTAGTGAGAAAATGAGAAACTAAACTGTAGAAGGTTTTCTTCTTTCCTCTCGGCTTTATGGAACTGTAGACAGCAGTAACTTGGCCTGTAGGTGAAAGCATGTTCTTTCTGCCAGATCTCAATGTTAAAATTGAAGCAGCCATTCTTTCAGGTGCAGATAGTAAAAGTAAGCTGCCAAGACCTTTCAGGGTGTAGTGGACCTCTCATTAAACCAGGCTGTCCTGGAGGATGTGGATGTGCTTCCATTTTGGCTAAAGTAAGCGTGCCCTGAGGTTTTGCAATGTAGAGGTTTTCATGGAAGTCTATGACAGATTTCCCTATTTTCTAAGCATTTGTAGGAACTTATCCTGGTTTGAAATGATACTTCCTTTGAGATGCTGTCTCTAGGTATTTTCTGAAGGGGTTTCTATGATTTTTGAAAACACCATTTATGTTTTACTTGGGAAAAATATGGGGGAACATAGTGCTGGCAAAAGACAATCTGCTCTTAATTCCTGCCTCAGTGGCACTATCTCATTCTTCATTTCCAGAGTGCCTTCTCAGACGCCTCTGTTTTCTGTGCTGTTTTTGTCCAGCAAGTAACTAAAACATCCAGGTTGCTAGCTGGAGAATGTCTTGACTGGTTTGTGAGTCTGGTGTTCCACTTCTCAGAAGCAAAAGATACCTTGAGGAAGAAGTTGAGAGGAGTGCCAATCTTGGTTTAAGCAGTTAGGGGGATAAACTGCTAACTTGTTAAGGGAGTGAGCAAACCTGCTTGGCTGATTATTATTTTTTTTTCCCCTCATTACATTTTTTTAAATCTGATTTTTGACAATTTGGGAGATATTTGCAAGCAGAGTCAAATTCTTTCAGAATTTTCAGCGTTTTATGGTTAAGTTGAAATCTTGTGGGGCTGTTGTGATTTTTTTTTTTTCCTGATATAGTCCTTGTTTGCCTTTTCTATGGATGCCTGCATGCAGTTTTTGAACTTGCATTAACTTTCAGTAACAGAGCATACCATGTAAAAGGATACCATAGTTTAGCCATGTATTTATGAAGATGTTTCATTTGCTTTGAGCTTATCACTTCTAACTTTTGTTAGATGACCCCTTCTTAGTTTGAAAGAATATGTAATCAGTTATTCTCTGTTCAACACTCTGTTCAATTTTCTGCTTACCAAGGCAAGTGCAGGGTCCTGCACCTGGGGAGGAATAACCCCAGGCACCAGGACAGGTTAGGGGTCGACCTGCTGGAGAGCAGCTCCATGGAGAGGGACCTGGGAGTCCTGGTTGACACCAAGTTAACCATGAGTCAGCAGTGCCCTTGTGGCCAAGGAGGCCAATGGGATCCTGGCTGCATCAGGAGGAGTGTTGCCAGCAGGGCGAGGGAGGGGATCCTGCCCCTCTGCTCAGCTCTGAGGAGGCCGCACCTGGAGTACTGTGTGCAGTTCTGGGCTCCGCAGGACAAGAGGGACGTGGAGCTTCTCGAGAGGGTCCAGCGGAGAGCAACCAAGATGATTAAGGGACTGGAGCATCTTTTGTATGAAGGGAGACTGAATGAGCTGGCCTTTTTAGCCTGGAGAAGATTGAGAGGGGACCAACATGTACAAACACCTGAAGAGAGAATGTAAAAAGGATGGATGATGATGACTCATGATTGGCACATGGCCAGAGGTGGCTTTAGGCTTTTTATGAAGGACAGGCTGGGAAGACGAAGTGGGGGAGTTGCACTTTACATAAGAAAGCAACTGGAATGTATGGAGCTCAACATAGGGGAGGACAAAGCGCGAGTCAGGAGCCTGTGGGTGAGGATTAAAGGGCAGCCCAGCAGGGGCCACACTGTGATGGGTGTTCGCTACAGGGCCCCGACCAGGAAGAGGATGGATGAAGCTTCTACAGGCAGCTGCAAGAAGCCTCCCAATCACAGGCCCTGGTCTTTATGTTTGGTGGGAGGACCACACAGCTCAGGAACAAATATGAGGGGAGACTGTAAAGAGGATGGGGTCAGACTCTTCTCAGTGGCAACCAGCAACAGTACAAGGGGTAATAGGTATAAATTAAAATATAGGCACCCATCTCCATATGAGGAAGATCTTTACTGTGAGGGTGGCTGTAGACTTAGTGCCATAATAATGTTGCTTGTTTCCGATTCTAATTTATTTTCTAGTAAATCCTGCCATCCCAGCTGATTTCTTTACACCTGGTGAGTATGTAGTAGATGTTTTTGTCAAACCATTGGTTGTAATCCAGATATCTTACTCCCGAGCGGTATGGAATTTTAGACCCTATTTTATTTATGTCTGGGTTTGCTTATATGTCCATTGTTGTGAACTGAGCACCTCTTTTTGCTGGACAAGACATGTTAAGTCCTTAACATGATGACATGTTTATAAACATTTGAAAGTTATCTTTGAAATTGTTTAACTAACTTTACAGTTAATTTTTTTTTTTAAACAGATAAGTAGGAAATGAAGAAACTTTCTTTAAGAAAGAGAAAAAAAATATACCCATACATTGCAGGAAATGTTTCAAAGAGCATCTGAAGATTTCTTTCCAAAGATGGAAAGTGCTGTTGAAGAGATGGATACCTCAGACACCCAGTGGGGCTGGTTTTATTTGGCTGAATGTGGGAAATGGCATATGTTTCAGGTAACTACATATGAAGTTATTTTAGCTGTGATGATTTCCACATGTCAAACTACTATTGACTTTACCTAAATATGCTTTTGATTTCTTTTAAAGACTGATTCAAACAATCATTGCTCAGTTAGCAGTGAAGATATTGAAAGGAGCTTCAGAACAAACCCACAAGGATCTGTTTCTTTTACTACAGCGAAGTTTAACTACACACTAGACTTTTCAGGTAGGTCTCTTGTCATAAAAATAAATTATTGGAAAGTGTCAGATGCATTAGTTTAATTATTCATTCAGCAAGTTGTTTTCCTTCTGTCTGGTGCAAAAACTCATGATTTTAAGGATTCATAATTGGAAGGTGTTTTTGAGATTTTGCAGGCAGATGCATTTTTTTTTCTTTTAACTAACAGGGTAGCATGCCTTGTGTAGCAGCTTTCAGCTTTTTATCTCTGCTTACCCTAGCTCCAGCTAGTATCTCACATACGTTCTTGGGGCTGGAAAGTTTGAGCTTTAACATCAACAGCTTGTAGGCTTGAAAAAATTCTCCATTCAGCATCTCTATAAGAAATATTGATGTAGGGGAATCTTTCTGTCACATGCTAATATTAAAGCAATTTTGTCACTCAGCATGTGCTTTAAGCCAATTCTGGTACTGGAACAAAAAGAGAAGCCCAGAAGGCTTTTCTGGTGAAGAGCTCACTTATGTAGTCCTTGTAAATTATAGACTAATTTACAGATTCTAACAGCGTTTATCAACTGTCTTTATTCTATACAGAAACCTCTTCCAGGTCAAAGAAAATAACAGTTTTTCACATAGAACGGGGAGTGAGTAGAGCAGTAATATACTGGGAGTAAGGTACTATAGAACTGTAGGGAAAGTTTGGTGTTTGCTTTTGTTGAAATGTCTATTAAAAGACTTTTGTTTTACATCTGTGGTGGAAAAACAACCAAAATAAAATGCTAAAGAACAAATTTACAAATCTCTCTCTCTACATTAAAAATAGTAGATATGTATGTATAACTGATACAGTATTGTATTTTGCCATATTAGTTGTATTAGCTGTAATTTTGCCATTGGTGGTGGGGAGAAGTGTTTCACCAGTAGTATAATAATCGTATTTATTTTATATATATTATTTGCATATTTTGCCAACTATGAAACAATGATGATACTGAGACCAGTACTCCAAAATGCTTATTCAGCATATTGATTTGTTAATTGATGAAACAGCGATTCTTGTCAGGCAACTTTTGAAGTAGCAATCCTGTTGAGAAAAATGATTTTATCTATTTCATATACTGTAGATGAATTCTATAAACTTTGATTCTAACTCTTGTTTTATGCTCAGCGATGAAGCAAACCAATCTAACTACCCTTAAGCAACGTCCAATAAAGCGAGCTCCCTTTTCTATCAATGCTTTCAGGTAAGGAAGTAAAATGAATGATTTGAATTATCCTTATTTCTGTTTTTATTCTTGACGCTTCTGTGTAAGAAGAAACAAAAATATGTTCTATATTGTCAACTGTTTTACATTAAATAATTGAAGATGTTGAATCAGGAGAGAAAGTCAAGTGAAAGAAGAGGGAGAGAAAAATCACAGAGGATGGGTGGGAAAAAGCTTGGTTTTTTTTTTTTTTTGGGCCTTTTATTTTAGAACAAGTAAGGAGAGTAGGAGAGGAATTGCACGTAAAGCTTCCTGAATGCTTGCATCCTGCTTGCAAGGTCCTTAAAGTTATGCCTGGCTTTAACCTTTGTGTCCCTTGCTGTAAATACCTCTTGAATCAGAGTTACTGGGGAGAAGCAACAGCAAAGAAGGGAGTTTTGTTCAATTTTAATAATGATCTTGCAACTAATTTAGCACGAATTTGGTAACACTCAAAAAATATGGTTTTTTGCCTGTGGTCATTTTGATTATTTTCTCTAAAAAGATATTAAATGACAAAAAAATGGCATCGTAAGGAACAGCTGTTTTTTCTAGTCTAATTGCTTTAGATTGTAGTTTCTTGGCTGTTGATCAGCCACTAGATTGTGCAGTCCTACTACAGATAACATTGGTTGTGAGTTGTGAGATTTTCTCAAATAATATATTCTAAATTGTGGTCTGGTTTTAATTTCAGTGTAAAATTTGGTGTTTATAAGGAATGTTATAGCAATCTTTACACTGATTTTCCGAAAACCTTTGATTTCTGAAGTGTCAACTGTAACTTTTTCAAAGGATGCTTGCTGAAGAAGGCATATAATGTTGCTGAAACTCAGTTTCAGTTTGTATTTACTGAAGAATTTCATTTGGTTCAGTATCCTCTGTTTACATGTGATGACATTGCTCCTTAGCTTCAAGAGATTGATTCAGTCTCTTTTTGCTACTTAAACACTGCTATGTATGCACATCTATGTGTATGCTTAAACTATGCATTTTTGCATATAAAAACAAATTCAGCTGTAACTTTGAAGTATGTACTTAAAATGAGGGCTTACTTTCCAGAGTCTTAGGCCAGCTCTAATTCCTGTTACTTTGGAAAGGTCAAGCTGTATCTACATTCCCAAGTTTCTAAATCAGTGTTGATCTCGATCACATTTTGACTACCATTTCTGATTTACCTTCCAATTTTTTATTGGATAGATGATGTAATAAAATTATTAATTACATTACCACTGTTTGTATGCAATAAGCAAAGCCAGAATTTGAATACAAAATAAGACATCTTGCCTTACATACTGTCTTTGTGAGAATTAAAACCCTATGTGGTTTGATCTTAGGGTGGTGGTTTTTTTTTTTTT